TATATATATATATATATAATATATATTGCTTCTGGTGTTTCCTGCTGCCTTTTCACAACCAGACTTCCCCCTACTCAACATGTTTGATATTGATTAGTACTATGTACAATAAAAAACAGGTGCCACGAAGTGAGTGTCTAGCGTGACGTTTGAACTCAGGTAAATATGTTGGTTGAACTGTTATCTTTAGAAAGGACTTTAAAACGAAATGTCACTATTTTTTGGAAGCTGTCGCTATGTTCGTTACACCGCGACTGTTGGTTCTTAAATCTTTGTTACAAAATGTACGACAGTGTCTTCTCTGTCGAAGGGTTTTTGCACAACGTCATCTCTATTCCGGGAAACGGCAACTGCCTGTTCCTATCCGTGTTTTTTTTTTCCTTGACACAAACACTTGACGAAGGCAATGCACTCTCACTACGACATAGGGCAGTAGATTTCGTGGTATATTATAGAAAATGAGAAGTTATCTTTTTTTTTTTGTTTTTGTTGGTAATACTTGAATTTTTCCTTAAAATACCCGGACCCGGGTTAAAAAACTGCATCCGGTTAAGCACTAGTATAATAATATTTTACGCTTTTGATTAGGTTGCTTTGTCATTTTGTTTGTGGTGGAATTTCGCATCGCAATATTGATACACCTCCCAATGCCCAATTGAGATTATAACACTGTACACTTACCCAGCCTCAATGTCAATAGAAAAACCTTTCTTGATCAGGCCACCAATTATCTCCACTTACCCTTCAATGACTTCTATCTTGAATCTCAAACTGGAGACCCACTTCCCGATGTCCAATGTATATATATATACGTTAAAAAGACGCTTTTCTAAAAAAAAAGTGTACTAAAAGTATAAAATTATATTCCCCCCCCCCCAAAGAAAAAAACAACAAAAAAACACAACTTCAGGCTTGTTAAACTCTTATGACTAAGAAAGCGTGGGGCGCCTATGAGATACAATGATGCCATATGACTTGACACATACAATGATGGACGCATGTATCCGTTTGCATTATGTGTTCACATAGCTGCCCTGCATTACTCTCAACTGTTGCCCATATTGTGTTATTATTTTAGTTGGACAATTTTAAATTCCATTTTATAATGCCACTTTAATAACCATTCTATTTTGATACAAAATTAACCCAATGCCAACCAATGGTGTTAAGAATCGGGTCGCTTTCTTCACTCCATGTTTTTCACTCGCGTCTTTGACCCAGCCTACGACCAACAAGCCCACAACCAGGCTCTCGTGACCTTGAACTAGCCTACGACCAACAAGGCAACACCCAGGCTATCGCGTCCTTGACCTAGCCTACGACCAACAAGGCAACACACAGGCTTTCGCGTCCTTGACCTAGCCTACCACCAACAGGGCAACACCCAGGCTCTCGTGCCCTTGACCTAGACTACGACCAACAGTGCAACTCCAANTTTTTTAATAAACGATAGTTATTGTTTCCCTTGAAAAAGGGAATCGTCTTTTATGCTCATAAAAAAAAAAAGTATTTCCCCCTGTCCCAGATCACTTAAACTAGTAATGTCCATTCATTGGTGAAGAGTCTCTGACAATATTTAAAGAACCGTGAGATTAATATCATATTTTATATTATGCATCACATACACTGTAGGCTAACAATTATATAGGTCTCATGTATAAAATAACTTTTTTTTTTCGCCCATTTATTATTATTTTTTTTTTCGATGGAACACCGTATCAGATCTTGTCAATAATACAATTAATTCTATTCAGCATGTTGATCCGGCTCATATTTCCCATGATACACCGCGCGAGGCACACTGAGGACATATTATATTATTATTGCGTTTTAAATTGTTTAAATTAATCTGCCTTGGAAGGTTTTAATGGACTGGTTCTCAAGTTATCATGTAGCCCACGCTTTAAAAAAAAACAAAAAAACAAAAAAACAACTCTCATCGATGCTGTCATCGCACGACGGTAGTAGCCCAATAGCTACCATTTGATGATACCAGCCGAGGAAAACATGGTTGACTTGGTTTCTTTTCCCTACTTCCTTCTTTTCAAACCACTTATTAATTGTTTATGTCAACATTTGTGCATGAGATGGTAATTAAAACACAACCTCATCACACGAATATTCCAGATCAGATTTATTAAAATTATGTTGATCCTTTGTCGTGGAGCACCTAAATGAGTCATTTCTCATTTGTCTTTAGATTGTCTCTTTCTCCTACGAAACTGGGCCCAGTCCATTGCGTTACCGTAGACCTACACTATTCTAAGACAGCCGTGATGAAAATAAGCCAGCGGCGAAATGCCATGTTTATATTCTGATAGGTACTTATGGTCTTTTCATATGTTTACTTACATAACCATAAAAAGGTAAACGTTACATGAGCAGTACAAGCTGTAGTTAAAACCATCTTATTCAAATGGCGAAACTTGAGACAGATCAGAGAGTCAGATGCTTGGTGGCGGAAGCCAAAACGTTGAGAGAAAACGATTCAATATTACTAACCAAAATTAGATCTTATATGGAAGAAAATACGAGGTAGCTAGGTCTATGGCCTAACTATATGGGTTAGTTAGGTCTATGGCTTAACTATATGGGTTAGTTAGGTCTATGGTTTAACAATATGAAGTAGTTAGGTCTATGGTTTTACTATATGATGTAGTTAGGTCTATGGTATAACTGTATGAGGTAGTTAGACTTATGAGTTATTAACCTCTATTGTTTAACTGCACCAGTTAGTTAGGTCTATGGTTTAGCTATACGAGTTAGTTAGCTCTATGGTTTAACTGTGCGAGTTAGTTAGGTCTATGGTTTAACTGAACGAGTTAGTAAGGTATATGGTTTAACTATAAGATGTAGCTAGGTCTATGGTTTAACTATATAATGTAATTAGACCTATGGTATAAATGTATGAGGTTATTAGACTTATTGGTCAACTATACGAGTTAGTTAGGTCTATGGTTTAACTACCAGAGACGAGCCACTGTTGTTGACTCACCTAGACTCGTCAAGTAGGACTGCCGAGTTTATTTCTCTACGTGGCTAGTAAAATCCAGCTGCAGTCAGAGGCGGATCCAATATAAGAATGAAAGAGAGTCACCTTCAAATGACATGGATAGATGGAGGAGAGGCGTACCTAGAGTGTTCGGCACTAGGGAACAAGATTCATCTCTTCACCCCCCCCCCCCCCCCACACTTCCCGATGTCCAATGTATATATATATACGTTAAAAAGACGCTTTTCTAAAAAAAAAGTGTACTAAAAGTATAAAATTATATTCCCCCCCCCCAAAGAAAAAAACAACAAAAAAACACAACTTCAGGCTTGTTAAACTCTTATGACTAAGAAAGCGTGGGGCGCCTATGAGATACAATGATGCCATATGACTTGACACATACAATGATGGACGCATGTATCCGTTTGCATTATGTGTTCACATAGCTGCCCTGCATTACTCTCAACTGTTGCCCATATTGTGTTATTATTTTAGTTGGACAATTTTAAATTCCATTTTATAATGCCACTTTAATAACCATTCTATTTTGATACAAAATTAACCCAATGCCAACCAATGGTGTTAAGAATCGGGTCGCTTTCTTCACTCCATGTTTTTCACTCGCGTCTTTGACCCAGCCTACGACCAACAAGCCCACAACCAGGCTCTCGTGACCTTGAACTAGCCTACGACCAA